AGGTGGTTGCTGAGTGCGGGCGCAGTGGTGGGTGGTAATATGAGACAAAAAGCCATTGCGTATAGTTCTGGGAATTGGCAGCGGCTTTGGCATTGGTAAGCTAATACATCGATGATATGGAGATAGATTTTTGCAAGCTATATTTCATCCCAAAAGAGATGAAACGGTTTGTGACAGATGGAGTGATATTGTTCTCCTGTACTGCTAGTGAGTGCAGCCCCTCCTGCGCTCCCTCCCTGACAGATGTAGGGGGAGGACCATGGCGCACTCCTCTTTCTTTTCAATTGATTTGGGTGCTCAAACCCTCAGGGACTGGATGGTGGTGGTGGTGGTGGGATGGCGGGGGGAGAAGTAATGGTGGCTGGGGGTTCTGTCATTTCCTGCAACATAGAATCTGCTAAAACTCTGACTGAAGTGCCATAAAGAAATCATAAATATATAGTAGCGTATGCATATATCTGCATATGTTCAAAGATGCTAATAGCAGTATGTGTGTGTATACAGGGGAAATTCCATAAATCTCAGTTTGTGAGTGACAGTGGCATGCACTCATCCATGTAATGAAAGCAATGGAGAATTTGAAGCTGCCTGCTGCTGGTGACTATGTCTAATGTGTAGCTGTCCACAATGCATTCAGTCTATTTCCTACAATTTATTACCAAAGATTCAAAAACACGCTTACATCGGTTTTTTTTTCTTTTTTCACTTGACTGTGCTTGTTTATAGTTTTATTTATGGATGCATTTTATACTTTGCCAAACTATGCACCAAAGGGTAGGTCTATATTTTGATTAGTTAAGATCAAAATGTAGCTAAAACAGAGACATATGGCTAAATGTTTCAGGCACTTGCTTCTAGTCAAGCCTGTTAATCTTAGTGCATTTTTGTTTGCAAGGAACTTTCAATGTATACAATAGGTTGTGCTTCACAGCAAGGTCCTGGGTTTAATCAACCGCAGGCCTTTCTGGGTGGAGTTTGTATGTTTTCACTGTGTGTGTCTGCGTAGGTTTCCTCCGGGTGCTCCGGTTCTCTGGTTTCCCTACGACTAAAAACATGTACAATAGATGAGGTTTGAATGGATGTGTGTTATTGAGTGTGACTGTGAGAGATGGAAATGAGCTACATAGCTACAATCTAGAGCTGTTACTGTTCATTGTTATAAACTGTTTCATTCAAATAAACAAATAAATACAAATACTAATTGGGACCAAACATTTTTGGATTTTTATTTAATTGTATTGTAATGATTCACGGTATAGCCTTAGTAGGAAGTCCATAACATGATTTAAATAAACGGAACATGTTTTGCTTCATACTGTGACACTGCATAGTTTAAGTCTTGATAGGAACATTTGAGTAGCTGTTTATAGTGTCGAGTAGTAAAGGCAATTTTAAGTTATTAATACTTTTAGCTGACCACAACACTCTAGCATGACCACTCATGGAGTTAACAGCTGTCCTGTGGCAGATGTGTCTTGTTGCTTTACTTCCCTCTCTGTCCCTTGAGGGGAGAGGTCAGGACAGGGTGGAGGTCAGAGGAGAAATCCTGAAGATGTTGCATGTGGATGTGCATCTGCCTGCCCCATCGTCACTGGAACCAGATTAGAATTAGCATTATTGATTACAGTGCTCAGTCTGGTGCGCTCAGATTCCTCCATTTATCTTTGGGCGCAGCAAAAAAATCCAAATATCAAAGCATGTGTTGCTATTGCAATCCAAAATAATCATTTTCTTGATTATATTTGTTGTTGTGTCTCCTGGATCTTTTTATTTTTCACTGTGTTAGAGACAGTGTTTTTTTTTTTATACCAACAAAGAGTCAAATGTTGTGAACAAATCAGATTACATTGTGCGGTCTTAAATTTGTTATAAGTAAGTAAAGTAAGTAATCTTTATTTATGTATGTGTAAGAATGAGCCCTGTGAGTCACTATAAGCAAGGGTGATTCTCTCTTTTTTCTTTTTTTGTCTGATAAAGCAGATGTAAAGACTGACAAAGGCCAAAAAACACATACTGTACATGTGAAAACTGTTGGACCCAAACTGTTTTGAAAGTTTAAAAAATCACATTTGTATAATTTTTTTGTGATTTGAAATGTATGTACCCCAGCTTTGAAGTTGTTTGCCTGTGGCATATTTATGTACATCGGCTTTATTGTTGTTTCTTTAGTTTTGCTGGTTTTATGGCTGCTTGTAACAATCTGAAAGCAGATCCTAAAAGTGGTTAATGAATTTAATGGAGCTTTGGGGAGGGGCGTGTAGGGTCTGGGGGTGCAGGGAAAGAGGGGCTGTGTCCAGGCTGTGAGCGCGTGGCGATTGAGCAGGTGGATGACGGGCAGCTGAGTAGTGGTCTCCTGAGGGGCCGGGGGCCTCGATTTTGAAGGACTCTCGGGGTTGAGAGAAGCCCTGAAAAAAGGCAACCCCATCTGGAACTGAGGTGGGGGCCCTGGTGTGAAAGAGATCTAGTGGGTGGTGTCTGACACTCTCTCTTTTGTTCTTCGGTTACAGAGTAGTGGTGGTGGTAGAGGTGGGGGCACATGCGGCTGTGGGGGCTGGGCGTTCAAACAATGGTACAGATCTAGAAATTGAAAGCCTTCGATGAACAGAAACACAAGTAAGCAGACGCGAAAGGTGCAGTCAGAAGGATGCAGAAAGCATGGATGGCTACAGTCCATGCTTTGGAAAATTGCATGTAAGGATGCTGCTGCCACACGCATACATTTTATCATAATTTCAAAACGAAGATGAAAAGTTTTTTAAAAATTAAAAAAAGGATCTGTTTTCTACATGCAGGATTTCAAAATGGTTTAGCTCTACTGAAGATTAACATTTCTTTTCTTACACAGAGGCCACAGCGTGACCGAGCTGCTGCTTCAAAGGGAAAAGCAGTTGCCTCATTTAGTTGTGTTAGCTTTCTTTTATGAGACAGACTAGTGCCTGCTGTGAGCCTGATGCTGCAGCTCTGCCTCTCCATACATAAACATATATCCCCAAGATGTCTGTCTCTTCTCTGCTGCAGCCACGCCACCGTCACGCAAGGTTAATTTGGCCTGCACTCCTTCATTTTTCACATCTCTTTTACTATTCATGCCATTCATCAGCCATCTCACTGAGGACAGTTCGACTACCTGCAGAACGCTCTCCAGGGTGCTGAAGGGACTACTGCGGGATAGAGTGGGGGAGGGCTGCAAAAACAGAAGCCGTGGAGCTCTATTAATTCTACATAGTACATTGTAAAGACAACATATTAGCAGTGTAAATTGTGTGCATAAGGACTCTATAACACAATTCTAAATGTTTTGTTGATTGCACATTCACTGGACAATAGGGTGTCTTGTATATAGTGAAGTAGTACATACAAAACATGCTTGGCTTATCTACCTGACATTTCTCAGTGCTGGCATGTGTAGCCAATAAATTAAAAGCTGTATAAAAGCAGGGGCATTTATTTAGCATTTTGGTTGGATAGATTTGGATAACAAAACCAACAAAGGCCGCTGCAAATGTTTCATCCTGTAGAGGTCACATTTGAGGACTGAATCTTAAACAATCACACTTGAGGCAAAGCTTTCCCTCTTTGCCCTTCATGGTATCTGGCCCCACCTGCTGGTAAAGTGGGTTAGGACACGTTTTCAGCACTGGTTATTTCTACCGCCTGATGTCGCTACTATTGGCTGTGCTCAAATGAGGGACAAACTTTAATCTACTGTTGTGTTAGAAAAATGGTGTTCTTGATGCTTGCATAGAGTGATGATTCAAACTATCACTTCACTGGACTTTACATTGGAGCTGAAACTACTACTTTACGAATGGCTTCTTCCCAGTGGTTTGTGGTTGATGCTTGATGGAAAGTACCGGAAGTCTCTTGACGTTAGAAAATCTGGACCAATTTGGACCTAAATACATCCATGATATGTAGGCAATATCATACTGTAGCTCTTAGAGAAAGCATATCATATATGGACATTGACAAATGAATGGACTGATGAGCATAGACACAATATATTTTCTCAACTATTATACTTTTTTTTAATTGATAGTAGTAAAAATGCTTTAAGCTTTTAGTTTCTCAAGAGCTGGAGATGATTGTTCGCGCTTTTGTTCCCTCAAGACTGGACTATTGTATCAACCTGCTTACATGTCTCAGTAAAAAAATATTTTGCTCGATTACAATTAGTCCAAAATTCTGCTACCAGGCTTTTGAACTGCACTCTACACCGAATCCTATCTTGAAATCTTTACATTGGCTCCCTGTCACACAGAATCAATTGTGAAATTCTGGTGTTGACTTTCAGGGCTCTTCATGGTCAGGCGCCTGCCAGGGCCTGATCCAGACCTTTTTCTCCAACAGGAGCCTGAGGTCCTCCACTCAGAACCTTTTGATGGTCCTCCGCACTGGCTTTACAACCGAGGAGACAGATCCTTCCAGGCTGTTGCTCCTTGTCGTTGGGATGCGCTTCCCCTGTCTCTGCGCATGTTAGAGTAATATGTATAGTATAATATTTACAGTCTATGGTTAGAGTCAGTGGACATTTTTAGGTCGTAACTGAAGACGTTTTGTTTAGGCAGGCTTTCTCGCCTCACAGTACATAGGCCCATCTAAAGTGTGTTACGATGATGTGAGTGATTATTCTGTATATTCGTTTTTCTTTTTCTAACTGACTTGTATCTGTACTATTTTTAGTGCATGTTTTTAATTGTGAAGCGCTTTGTGATCCTGGTCTGTGAAAGGCGCTATATATCATTATCAATAACGAATTGCACCTGGTTAGGATTTAAAAGCAAGGAAATCTATGAAGCCGTGGTCTTTAATCTAGACTGGTTTTGGTTAGTGTCATACAAATAAAACCTTTATTGTGAAATCTGTGGGGGGAAAAAACCCGCAACGATTTTTTTTACCTGAAAAAGATTTTATTTATCTTACCGAAGTATATTTGTTTCCACATCTATATAACATGGCATCTCAAAATACTCGCGGTCCTTATTTTGAAGTGGAAGCGGATGCGGCTTGTGCAGACTTTCCCACGGCGGCTGCATGTGCCTCTCCCGGCCGCTAGGAGCGACAGGAGCGGTCTGTCCCATGGTCTGTCCCAGTCCCAGCGCTGGAGGAAGCGTCCCGAGCCCACAACACACGGGACAGCCAAGAAACCGCGGGGAGGACACATTTCACTTTACTTTCAGACTTACTTCACATGGGGAAAAGACATGACTTCTACGGCGAGCGAAAGAAGGGCGTTTGCTCATAAAATCAACCGGTAAATGACAAAAGTTATTGTTAACAGCCTCTCTCTGGAGATGTGACCCACTGGACGCTGTGCGCAGCGTAAGCAAGGATTTATTGTAACGCTTATCCTAAACCTCTTATTTACACTGATCTAAAACACCCCGCACAATCTCTTAATCTGCTCAAAAACCACAGATACATGTATTAGCCTCTAATAGAATCGTGTGTGACAGAGTGTTTCGTGTATAGATACAGCAGCTTCTACTACTACAGCTGGACTGAAATGTGCATGTAGAAGTGAGAAGAGGAAGCATATATGTGATACCTGGTTTGTTGTTGGTTTATTCCAATGTTCTGAGAACACCTTGCAGCAACCGAACTACAGCCTGTTTCCACATGTTGTAAACTGTAAACTGGTTCTTCTTCTTTCTTGAGTTGGCATAATCACTTGTATAGACTGTAAACACGGATGTATTGATCTGTTGGTTGTCTTATGTGTGCTATGCTCTCCATAGTGTACTGTACATTTGCGGCAACATTTTCTTCTAGGTACTGATACGTGTTGGAGACATCCCCCCTCCCCCTCAAATGCCCCATTGGCCTACTTGTTTTAGCTGGGTGGTGAATTGAATTGACGTTTTGAACATAATTGACTCTTGTACTTTTTCCCCTGGGGGAAATTGGTGTTACAGCAGTTTGAGCAAGTTTTCTTATTGCACATTTACACAACAGCAAATCAGCACAAAACAAAGATGCATCATGTAAATTCAACTTAAATTCCTTTGGTCCATTTCTTGGTAGGACTTGCACTATTGTTATGTGCCGGATGCAGGAAAGGGTGGGAGAGAGGGGTGTTGTGGTTTTTCACCCCTACAGTCCATTGCTTTCCTTTTTCCTGTTTTACATTCAAGTGCAGAAGTTGGAACACTAGTTTCTATACCATAGTCACTAATAGATGATGATAATAACATTTTCTTTACATTGGAAACAAGCATCTAACTTCAATGGGAGAAGTTACAATACAAGAGACACGTTTTCTCGCAGTAAAAAAACAAGCTGTTTTTTAAGCACCAAAATCATCTGTAAATTGAGGAATATGCAAATTTGAAGCCAAACTGAGCAATTTTCCAAGAAAAGTAATTACACATTCATTGCTGAAGTAGATATCGGACAATTTCACTTAAAGCGGGTCACAGTTGAGGAGGGCACTTTGTAAACCTAAAAATCCTTAATTATAGAAAGCGATAGTGAGCTTGAATTAAAAACCATATATCCTGGACATGGGCCTATAATGAACTAACTCACTATTTTACTGCCAATAAAAAGCAAATATATTTATAAACCCGAGCCAAAACGTTGGGCTAATTTGAAGCTTCATATGGTAAACTCATGCATTTGTTCCCTTAGCATCCATCTGCTCTATTTTCCGTCAAAAGGCTCTTGGCTGTTATTCCCTACTTTGTCTTTTTGTAAATCTCTCATTGCCGTTAGTCCATAAAGGCCTGGGACAGAGTTGGCGTCGTGCCTGGTCTCCGGAGCCAAGACACCACCTTTCTGTGCGATCCGTTAAACTCTTTCACAACAGCTGCATCAGCATCAGTGCAGGCAACAGCTGAAATCTGTTCAAATAGTGCATTGTAGATGGATGAGCTTTTCTCCAAGTAGTGAATAACCGTGTAAGAGCCAAATAATGCTTGTATTTTTGTGCCACCATTTAGAATTCTAATGTATGTTTTCTATGTCCTAGGACGGTTGCCTCAGAGGTCAGAAAACAAGTGTCCCGAGAGTATGGGTCTCCTCAGTTGTCAAAGAAGCGAGGAGCTGCACACCACACTGTGAGTCAACAACTATTTACAGCCTCTTTAAGGCCTGTGTTTAAACTGCTCTCTGCTCACAACCCCTTGTTTACTTTGAACATCTTAATTAGTGAGACCCAAGAAAGATGGTTGTAAGTTCTGAAGTATATGGATTTTTTATATTTTTTATTTTACCACTGCTAAAGGTAACTTAACATGAATAATCTTTTAAATAATCCAACAATTTCTTGCTTGTAAGAAAACATTTTATCTTTTGCATAATTATAAGCGAGAGCCTTTTGAGTCACTATATGATGCTTTGTGCTGAGAGCTGATTGGCGGAGCAAGGATTGTCCTTTCTTTTTCACTATTGTGACTGAAAAAGATCATCTAAAAGTGTAACAGAGGCCAAAAATACATGCGCTTGAAAAGTAGCGACAGAATCAAACGAGAGAAAGGAACTAGTTCAATGGATTTTATAATATAGTTCTACTTTTGAAGTTTGAAAGTTAGTGTCTTGATTTTCAGACTAAATGAGTAACACTGTAAATGTTTCAGCTATTTCTGTATCTAACTGGTGTTTATTAACAGCTGCCTCTGTCTGATGTGGTGGAGCCCATAGACTTTGAGGAGTATGTAAGTAGCCATGCCCCGGGGGTGGAGCCTGGGCCTCTGCGGCAGCTCATGGAGTTTCCACCCGATGATCTGGAGCTCCTCCACTTGGACAAAGAGTGCACGACACTGGAGCCACCGCTGCCTGAGGAAGATGAGTGAGTCCCCAGCAAATGGCTAAGCATCCTGCCCTTTCCATTATCACAACCAGAGAAACAATATTACTAGGACAAACTCCACAGAGCAAATTCTTTTCTCTCTCACACGGAATAAACATAAATATTAAAAGCCTTCTTTATTATTTATGTGTTTTTCTATGTAGTCCACTGGATCCCAGAGTGAGAGACGCCTTGGCAGTCTACACAGATGACTGGCTCATCATTCAAAGAAAGTATGTTACTGTCTGATGTGGGTTTTGTTGAACTAACCTCCATCACATTGTTTATTTAAGCTACACAAGACCCTGCTTATTATTTTATATGATTGACAGGAATATTAACTTTGGATGTTTTGTAATTTCCTGTAGATACCAGAAATACAGCACGGTGTACATGCCTCATAACTCTGAGCGGCAGAGAGAGCGACAGCGAGGGCTGGTCAAACAGATTTTTGAACTGGACGAGACTGCAGGAGTAGAGCGCCAGGATGATCAGGTAGTGTCACTGAAACTGCAGAGAAAGTTCTGGTTAGAAGAACTGAGGAGAGAACACCAGGTGCCACAGTGGGACTACTGAGGCTGATAACAGTTGTTGTGTCCTGAGGCAAGACACATTACCCACTTTGCAGAGTAGGTTTGTGTGCTGCGTATGGAGTGAATTAATAATGCAATGTAAAGCGTCTGAGTGTCCAAAAAAGTCTAATGCATTATTGTTATAGGAACATATGGAGGTTTGCCTTTAGTCGTTGAGGCTTCAGCTCATAGGCTTGGCTTTTAGCTGTGATTTGAATTGCCTGAATTTCTGTTAGTCTCACATGTTTCAATCTGTGTATGGTTCCAGTAAACACTATTTGAATACTAAATTAGAGAACAATTTCAATTAATCGATTACTGCTCTAATATTAAGAATTACTACACTGGAGAGTTTGAGACTTACACTGGCAATTTTTTCCATCTCTTTTTTGCTGTAAAGGAAAGAATATACATTTTTACAACCTCTTAAGAAGATTATTGTAAAATGATAGACGGTTGATTGCTCATCATTCTCTAAACATTACACATTTTGACTCATATTTATGTTAAAGCAGCCCTTCCCCCACAGAGAGGATTAAAGCTGAAACGCTTGCCTGGAGGAACAATAACATGATCTCACTTCTGCTCCTCTCTCCTGCTGCGTGTCTCAGGATGACGTAAAGCGGCGCTCTGTCAGTCTGGATGAAACCCCGCGGGGCAGTTGGGCTTCCAGCATTTTTGACCTGAAGAATTCCTCTCCGGATGTGCTGCTGCCGTCTGTGCTTGAGCGTGCGGCTGTAGAAGACCTGGACCGCCGTAACACTGAGGCTCGGCAACGCGACCGGCACAACGACCTGCTTGGGCTCTACGCCCCTCCTGATGAGGTCTGTATCTGTGAAAAAGCTTGTGACCCAAGCAGTCGGACAGTACAGACTGAATACACTGATGATACTGATGTCATTCTGATGCTGTGACATACCAAAACATTTTTATAACTATCCCATCCACTTTATTATTGTCAAGCTGATGGACAATTTTACAAATATATTTTCAGGTTTCAAAATTAGTAGAGTAGCAGTGGTTTCACAATTCCACAACTGAAATAATTTAGGGCTAATTGGTTTACTTTCTTACTTTTGGACTCACTCTTTAAAATGTTTGACACAATTTACAACCAACACATTTTTATGACACTATTATGATTCCCTCATATATTCTTACTATTTACTATCTATGTATTCCTTCATAATCTTAAAACATAAAAAGGAAATCAAACAAATACAATCATACTTAAATATATACTCTTATGATGCATTTATTTTAAAGACTTAAAGTCACAACTGAGTTCAGGCTGATTCTGCTGGACTGAAAATTACTTTCATAATAGATTTCGTTATCCCACATACATAGTACATATTCTTTTATTGAAACCCTTGCACTGGCTTTAAGGAATGTTCCTTTTTTAGAACCTGCATAAATAAGGTCAGATTAAGGCATTAGAGCTTGTTGTGTGCAGATCTCTCCTGCCTCCAGGAGACATGATGTTCCTAGAAAAGCAAATATCCAGCCCCTAATCCGCCCTCAACTAGAAAACTTATTTGCTTTACTTTTGACCCCATTCTTTGTTCCTGCTCTCATCCGTCTGCCGTTTCATTGTCGTACTCCTCATTGCTTTACTGCAGCCCCGTTGCCATGACGTTTGTGTAAATGTTATGTTGTCTGTGGGGCAGGATGAAGCGGTGGAGAGATGCTCTGTCCCAGAAGTGCCCAAAGAACACTGCGGCCAGAGAATCATGGTTAAATGTTTGTCTCTGAAGTGAGTGCTTCAAATGTCCATTATCCGTGTCCTTCCTGCTTTTTCAAACTCTGCTTTCTTTATAATGACAATCGCCTGTGCGTGTGTTTTAGATTTGAGATTGAAATTGAGCCGATATTCGGGACTCTCGCCCTTTATGACGTCAGAGAAAAGAAAAAGGTAGGTTTTTTTGTGGGAATAATGCAATAGACTCTGCGTTTCTAAGTTAATTTTACCAAGCATACCACTTACGTAATGCTGAGCTCATGCGTGTCTAATTGAGTTTCCCTTGCCTTGAAAGGTCTTAAGTGGTATCAGAGTTAAGATTACAGAGTCAAAACTGAATTAAAATCAATTGATGTGCATTACCTCCTCACCCATTACTCCATTTGTCTCTCTCCCTCTTTCCACTTATCAAACAGATCTCAGAGAATTTCTACTTCGATCTCAACTCGGATCCAATGAAAGCACTTCTCAAAACGCACACGCCTCACACTGCCATCTCCACCCTGGCGCGGTCGGCAATTTTCTCCATCACTTACCCGTCGCCTGATATATTTCTTGTCATAAAGGTAATACAACTGAACTCGTGCACATCATTATGCATTTCTTGACCCTTTTGTTTATTGTAATAACTCCATTACGCATTGCAGCTTGAAAAAGTTCTCCAACAAGGCGACATTGGGGAGTGCTGTGAACCATATATGGTGATGAAAGAGTCAGATTCTTCCAAGGTATGCGGCCAAAATTTGCGAGTTTAAAGTTATTGCAAAATAAATTGAACTGCAGCCAAAGCTCACAGGAGGTCTTTTTTACCTTCCAAACAAAAGTATTAACAATTTGCTATAATCGGTCTGTGGGTGTACGAGCAAGAACATACAGTGCTGAGCAAAAGTGAGGCTGGTGTGAAAAAGCTGTTTAAGTCCTGCATTATCTTTATATGAAAATGTATAGAATGTGGGTATTGCAGTATTAATAAACTAGAGATTATATTTGTCAATTAGAGGTGTTGTTGCTGTTTTGAGATGGCAAGATTCATCAACCAGGAATTATAATAACATATTTATTATTCTATTGTTCTTCTAGATTAGATTTTTTGATTCCCACCTGCAGAATTTATTTTTTACACACATCAACATGACTCATAACACAGATTTACAAGTACATGGTTTGAAAAAGGGTATTATTTGTGATACTATAATATACGGACACTACTACTTATGGTATCAGACAAAACAAGACGACACACAGAGACGACAGAGGCCCAAACAGTCTCTGATCCTACACCCGTCTCCCGTCACTTGCTCTGTGTAGAAGCATGACTTTTGTTCCATCACATATTTCTTCACTCCTTCTTTTTGAACATGTTTTATTTCACCCAATGTTATATCCATGCACTGTGATACAATAGTATTATAGTTTTCCTGTAATTATATTGTCAAACTGTCCAGGGACGACGGGTGGAGGGTCAAATTCTTGTTAAAAACCTGGCACCTGACATATTTTCGAAACATCTAACAAACTGACCATGTTTATTGTGCACTGTCCCCGATTAAATAGATTCAATTCAATTATAATAGTCATCTTTTCCAATGACCAACTGGCCTTGCATCTCTTGTGGCCATTTTATCACATACTCATATTTATTCTCATATTCTGTTTTAGTAATAGTTAATATTCTCTTTTCATTCAGCATAAAGAGAAGCTAGATAAACTGAAGCAACAGGCAGAGCAGGCGTGCGGCCGTTTGGGAAGATTCCGAATGCCTTTCGCCTGGACGGCCATTCACCTCCTGAACATTGTGAGCAGCGTGGGGGGCCTGGATCGACTGGACTCTGACTCCGACTCGGGTACTGTCCCCTAACCCTTACAGTGCTGATGTTTCATCTGCTGAAAATGCACATCTACAAATGTCTGTTTGTGTTTCATCACTTAAGCAAATATGTCTGTGTGTATCGTTTTAGAGCGAAAAGGTCATGGGACATGGAATGAAAAAAAGAAAAAAGGATTTGAGCGGATGAGTGTTGCTGAAGATATGTGCAACTTTGCAACTTTCCGTCCAGCCACACTGACGGTCACAAACTTCTTTAAACAGGTGCGACTTGAAATAATCAATTATCTATTGAACACCTAATTTCTTCTTTTAGTATTGATATTTTATGTATTACAGCTGTATTACCAAACTTTTAAACCACACATTTTTCCTGGCTCTGAAACAGTTTTATCTATTTATTATTTGTCACTTCCGCAAGTGGTTGCTTCACTTTCGCTAAACATCTTTAGACAGAAAGTTCCGATAAACCAATAAGCTTTCAGCCCAAGATTTCAAAGTGTTCAAAATATGACGATGAAGACGGCAAATAATGAGATGAAGCAAGTTGTGGTCTGATTTGTTCCTATTTTATTTACTTCTTATTATTCTTCTCAATATAAATAATGTGCATTATTGGAGATAAAAATGTAGGCACCCCTGATTTAAATATATAAAATATGTTTGCAAAAGGAGGGAGACCGCCTCAGTGATGAAGACCTTTACAAGTACCTGGCTGATATGCGCAGACCGTCCTCTGTTTTAAGAAGGCTCAGGCCTGTAACAGGTGACGCAACATCTAATCATTAAAGTTCTTTTACATATTGTGTACTTGTTCTGTACATTTTCGCTTTGTGCCCTTTAGCCCAGTTGAAAATCGACATTTCTCCAGCACCAGACTCCCCCCATTACTGTTTGTCCCCTGAGCTGTTGCATGTGAAGCCGTATCCAGACCTGCGGGTGCGTCCCACTAAAGAGGTGCTGGAGTTTCCGGCCCGTGACGTGTACACGCCACACACCACCTACAGGTGAGAAACTCTCGCCCTAAAGCTGCAAGTGCAACACATTTACCTCTGGGGCACATTTGGGCCTTACAAAAAAAATTATGATTATTTATTTTATAGTCGGGGCGACAGTAGCTCAGTTGGTAGAGCATTGGCCTTAAGGCCAGAAGGTCGTGGGTTCAATTCCCACCTCTGCACCTTCTCCACCGACTCCTACTGATGACTGCTGTCGTTGTGTCCTTGGGCAAGACACTTGACCCCACTTTGCCCAAAGCCCCCACTGAAAGATCAAGGCTACGCTCACACTCAGAAAGCAGCCGTCCTCCTGTGGACACCACAACAATCTTCAAAAGTGAAAAAGTCAGCCTCCAGCACATCTTATACTTTTTAATTTTTCACATTATAAACAAAATAAATACTTGCTTTACATTCACACATTTTTATTCCGGTCTATCTAAAAACAGTTTGGATAGATGTCCAGATAGCCAAAGTTCAGTACAGTACACGTTTGAAATAGCTGCATTGATGTGAACGAGTAGGTTGTGTGCATTCATTACTCCATTTGAAGATAGCAGGGGCCCAAAGGAGTGCAGTGAGATGGGGACGTGAAGTCTGTGTGTGTTAGTTCCTGGACTGGGGTAGCTGTGAGGGGAAACATAATGGGGGTTTTGTGCTGAACTTTTCCAGGCAACTTATTAAATACTAACTTAAGTACCTGTTTCTGCAGCCTCTGTAGATGCTGGTTCTGAGATTCAATGCTTTCCCTTTGAAACTGTGTGAAGAGCTGTATCCCCTGCAACATGCTCGAATGCTCCTTTGCTCTTTCCTGCAACAGAATACACAAGTTTTTTTTTGTAGAGCTGCATGATATTGGAAAAATATGTAATCGCAATATTTCGGACCATCATTGCAAGCAATTATGGTATCCTGTGTGTTCAGTATATTCTAGTTTTGTAATAAAGTGTACATATATAGCGATTTTCTCATTCCCACACATTTCCAAACATGTACATCCATATATTTCTCTTTGGAAATTCACTGCATAATTGTTGAATACATAAAGTCCTTCTTTTCTCTTTCTGTTCTTATCTTTTCTCTCACCATTCTTATAGTCAGACCCTGAGCTGTTTGACTGTTTATATAGATTATGAAAAGAAATTCGGAATGATAAAAATAATGCCTCTATGAGACAAAAGATACTCGTTTGTTCCATTGAAAACCCGACTAAATAAAAAATATACTAAAATCATGACATGTTTTCCAAATTCAAGTGCTTTTTTGCTTATAGTTGTCCCTTTTGGTTGCAAATAACTTAATTGCAGTCTTTGCGATTTGCTAAAAGACAAAAATGTGATTGCGTGTAATCTTGCTGCCCTAATGCTCGTGCATGTTTGACTCCATATTTCACATATTTTCTTTATTACCTGTAGCTCTTTGATGCTTGTGACGATGGACGTATTGAGATACGAGTCCATTCTTTTCACTTTGCTCCTCAGCTGCTCCTCTTCCTGCTCGATGCGAGCCAGCCAGTCCCTCGTCATCCTGGTCTGAGCCTCTTGCTTGGCCATCTGCTCCTGTCAAAAGAGCATCTGCCCATATTACTCTCTCCCCCCCAACTAACCCCCATAACCCCCCTCCCCACCAGCTGCATTGGTCTAACCTATACGCTAAGAACATGCATACACAATTCTTTACAATTAGGTTTTGCATACAAGTGGGATTCTATTAAAGATTAAGTTATGCTTTAAATCATCTATTTGAATTAAACTACAGCTGCATCCCTCAGACTGAAATAAACTTTGAACAAAATTATTATTACATACATCATGCCAAGAACAAGCTTTTACCATCTACATTAGGCCAGTAATGTGCTTCATTTGTAAATGTTCTTTACCTTCAAGTCATTCAACTATTCTCCAGTAGCACTTTTCCAGTAACATTACTGAGAATACAAGTGTTGCTTGTTGTGTTTATAATTTGAATCCAGTACAATTCACTTACGAGGAATATACTGTAGTATAGTAGAGAGATTAACCAGTAACCAATGACCAATACTGATTTTAATAGATGATGATTGCTAACAAATGCTAATGCACTTGTTAGCAATCACAACATCATTAAGAGGTTATTACATAAGGACTTGATGGATGTTGATGGAAAATCCTCCTTGTATTTAAAGAGATGCACCATGAAATCTGTAATTATGTTCAGTTGCATTGAACCAGAACTGGACCAAAGGGAAAGAAGGCTGTCCCGTAACTGATATACATTTATTTATTTATGAATATTAATGATGCTTTATTTCTAATTTGTTATAAAAGTGGTTGTTTCTTGAGAGTATTAGCTTTGAAATTATGTATATGCCTAAGCTGTCCTTTTCAACCCTGGATCAAAGCCACTTTTTTGTTCTACATTAGCATTTCAGAAAATGTTTTGCACACATGCAATAATTGTGGTTTTAAAAACATTGTCACAACACAACATTGTGTTTACATTATCCTCAATATTTACCAATAAATCATAAAGCGGTGGAATATTGATTTGTCTGCCTGGTACTCTTGATCCAAATTCCGATTTTAAACACAAAAAAGAACAGACTTTTCTTATCTCCTTCCCACATGTTTGCACCGACTCTCCCTGGCCTCTCACAACATCACAGAGAATCCTGTTTTCTTACCTGTAGCAGTGTTATCACATCTTTAGTCTGCCTCTCCACCTCAGCCGCCTTCTCAGTCTGCGCTCCCAGCTGCTGCAGAGTTGCTTCGCGGATCTTCAAAGCCTGGATGATTTTCTCTATCTTTGCCGCCGTGGCTTCATGCGCATAGTTGAGGGATTCGCTAAACTGTATCACGCCAAACATCAGTACGTTCACTTCTTCTTGGGATGCAGCACTCCCTGTTTTTCTGATTGGACTGCTATCAGCGGCTTTGAAAACTAGAACAAAACATAGCAAGCGCCAGATCATCTTGATGTTTTGAAAGTTTTGGCTATGAATTGATATCTCATAAATCTGTCTTCTTGCTTAGAGTATGCACAAAATCTTTCTCTAAAAAAATAGCAAAGCAAAGCAGAATGGGCTTTTGGTATCTGCAGAGTCTGGAATGTCTGTGATGGGCCTTATATCACATGTGTTCCTTGGTGAAACATTAGCTCAGCTGTGAACACCACTGTCTCCCAAATGACCTCGCCTTGAAGTTTGACCCGCAGCACAGATTCAGTCATTTGGGTCAAAAACACCCACCTGTGGCACACATGTGATCTAATGCCCGTGCGGAGGATTTGCATATCATCCTTATCATCCAAACTTTTTAAAGCCAAAACTTTTGTGACATTTAATGGTTTGATTTTAAATGAATTTGAAGCTGAATTCACTTTGCATAGTTGGCCTGACCGTCCATGAACAATAGAGGACTTTGTTATTTGTTAATAGCCATTTATTGTATAACATGACTAATTCTAGTCATTGTGTTATTCACATGACTTTGTTTTGGAAAAAAGAGGTAAAGAATGAGATGATGTGACTAATCATTGTTCAGGAGTACATTGGATAAATTGTAAACAGTAAAGGAGCAATGTTTGCATCATTTGCCTTTTGGAGCGTTGTAGTCTTTCACCACAAACACTGAGTGCAACTAAGGAAAGTTCTTTTTAACTTGAGCCCTATGCAACAAATATATTTCTGTTTTATAATTTTGTCTTTCAGAAATCTCCTTTACATCTATCCACAAAGCCTGAACTTCAACAGTCGCCAAGGCTCTGTCAGAAATATAGCTGTGAAGGTGCAGTTCATGGCGGGAGAGGACCCCAGCCAGGCGCTACCTGTGAGTCACTTATCAAATAACCAACGTGTAACACTACGCTCCCAAAGTCTGATGGCCTCAGGCAACCGAACTGTAGAGTTTCAGTCAAAGTGAAGCACAGTTCAAAGTAGTTTGGTTTAACTTATCACCTACATTTGTCACTTTGTTCGTTTTATAATTCATATTTATCGTTGAAAGTTTGACTAGGACATTTTTTTTATACACTAGTCTGCAGTTATAATCTAGTACTTTTTGACTATACATGTCATAATTTAAATTCTCAGTGTTGATTTGAGGACTTGCAGACGTAAGGTGTTTGACAGCATTGCAGCTGTAGTATTGCTTTTTGTGTTTGCCAAAATTCCTTTAAAAAAGTAAGAATGATACATGCAAGAATTGCAAAGGCAAACAAATTTAGACAACTTTGCATAATCAGAATTATTTTTATTGCCATTTGTAAGTAACAGGAAGTCACAAACTAGGTATTTGCTTTGGCATAGGACGCAGACAAGCAGTAAAAATGTAAACAATAGATATCAAATCATAATATAATTGTAGTTTAAAAATGCTCACAATAGACATTTAACAGTGAAGCTTATCAATGACAATGATGTCAGAGGAAGTATAGTATAACTGAAAAACACTAAGATGATTGTGTATTATTCCTTTTAGGTGATCTTTGGGAAGTCGAGTTGTGCAGAGTTCATGAGGGAGGCGTACACACCTGTGATCTACCACAACAAGTACGACTTCCGCATCACAACCATTGCCTAACTATTTCCTCAATTTTCTGCGTCTGATCTGCATCCGTCGCTAACATATGGACTTTGCTTATCGTTTTCTCTCAGAACGCCCGAGTTTTACGAGGAGATGAAGATGAAGATTCCCGCCAACCTGACCGACAACCACCACCTCCTGTTCACCTTCTACCACATCAGCTGCCAGCCCAAACAGAACACCCCTCTGGAGACCCCCGTGGGCTACACCGTGAGTTTAGTCTCCCTTTTTTGGCCCATATTCAACACAAACTCCCGCCCACACGCTGTTTGTCTGGGCACCGCTTCAGTTCCAATGCCAGGAGAATGAATTTGTGAGATTGTCTGTTTTCATTCTTTTCCCGTCTGCAGTGGATTCCTCTGATGCAACATGGCCGTCTGCGCACTGGTTCCTTCACTTTGCCCGTCTCCGTGGAGAAGCCCCCGCCTAGCTATTCCGTGCTCACCCCTGATGTAAGCGTGCGCCAATATTGTCGGCGACTGTAACTTTGCTGCGCTTGTGACTTTTGATGAAGTGGATGTTGCACAATGACAGGTCCAGCTCCCGGGGATGAAGTGGGTGGATAATCACAAAAACGTGTTTAATGTTGAGGTGACAGCGGCCTCCTCAGTTCACACTCAGGTACATGGATTTCTTGCCTTTTTGTGTGCATAATGACTCATTCTCAACTCCCACCTTTTAGACACATTGGATTGAGAATACCTCTTCTGCTGTTGTTCTTGAGTTTTTGTTTTGTATCCGGTAAATGTGCCATGTATAGTAAAGCATTTCATAAATCTAGTTTTAACTGGACTTTATTGTACAGTTGGTGGTTTTATGTGGGTCAGCTGAAGATGGTTGCAATAATTGATATTTACCAATGATTTGAGTCTCAATTTGTTTCATGAATGACTTCACACAATTAATTGAATTCAAACCAATTTATTTTTGTATATTGCTAAATCACAATAGCTTTTGTTGACATTCACCAACAACAGACCAGACAATCAAAGAGTTTGAACACAGAAATTATTTAGGAGCCATTGTTCCACAGGGAGCGGGAGGACCAATGTCCATAAATGTTAATATTTGTAAATTAGTGAACACATTGATTACAGAAGATTAATTTGAAGGCATTTATTACTTTATCCCAACAACTGGAATAACACAATCTCGACGTCTTAAGAGAACAGTTAACCGGCGCCTCCGGTAGCTCTAGCAAAGATTTAATTCTGGCTTTTTATACAGGACAGTATGGTCAATAAGCATTGCTCTTTTTTTCTAATTGCAAAATTGTTAATTGTTTAATATAATTGAAATTAAAATATGTGATCTTTCAAAGTATAACTCTACTGACGCCCACTTTGTGCCCTAGTTTCAAAGACTCTTTTATCTCCACAGGACCCGCACTTGGATAAGTTCTTCACTCTGGTGTATGTTCTGGAGGAGTACTCGTTCCCGTTCCGGCTGAAGGATGTGATCATCACTGAAGCCAACATGGAGGCCGAGCTCAAGGCCAGCATGTCGGCCCTCAGAGGCGCTCAACTCGATATCTGTGTCACGTTTTTACACCAGCTGCTCAACAAGCTCATTCAGCTCATTGTGTATCCACCGGTCATTTCAGGACAGATAGGTAAGTGGAGCGTGAGGATGCTATCTCTATTATGAATCATTTAAAGATGTGAAGAGCCCTTTTGTGAACAGGGCTGAACTAATGTGGTAATATGTTAAGTGGATGATGCGCTAGTTGATTTGCTTTAATCATTTTGAGCTTGAATCTGTAATGGCCGCGTGTTTCCTAATGCACCAGCCATTGTCACCTTTTTGTTTGTTTGCAGTGAACCTTGGCCGCGCCGCCTTTGAAGCAATGGCCTTATTAGTGAACCAAATCCACAAAAACCTGGACGGAAACCAGGACCAGCACGGTCGTAACAACCTGCTGGCCTCATACATACAGTACTGCTTTCATTTGCCCACAGCCGATCCCCCGATTCCTGCTTCAGGAAAGTATCTTGAGGGATTTGTCTAATACCACTTAAGAATACTAAGAGAGGAGAGGCGTTGTGTTTTGTGTGTGTTTTTTTAATTTATTTTTTGAGATTTCTATTACAACACATACATACATACATACATACTACTACCTCAGTCATAATATCAATTAGGATGCAAAATTATTAAATGCAAGATATCCTTGTTTTTTATTTTTTTTTTATTGGTGAAAAAAACAGATTATATAATATTGTGATGATTAAATAATAATAATGAGAAATGCTAACTAATTTAAGTAATGTCATTTTAATCATGTTTATTTATTCTGAATTTGCAGCTGCTCAGTCCTATGAAATGCCGATGCAGTTTGCCACTTTATCCAGAGCCACAGTGCGTCCCAGCAGCCTCCATCTGTCACGATCCAAGAGTATCAGTAATTCAAACCCAGACCTGGTCACCTCCCCCGTCTCCCCTGATGAGGAAGTGCAGCGTATTATCGGGAATAAGGTAAGCCACCTGCAGTTAAGTGCATTTCAAGAATATTTGGGATAACTAAAATGGCCACAATTTCTTAATAAATTTTGATATTTTTTAGTGGGTGCAATGCTGGGTGTTTTTCTTTTGTAACATTTCCATATAGATATTTTTTTATTTATTGTAAGCGACAACAACACATGTAGAATACAGTTTTGAACACATAAAAGTTCCTTAGGCTTTGTTGTTGTTTGAGAGAACTCTTCATTTCATTTTTAAAACGATTTTGCTATTCCATTACTGTGTAATGGCAATATATTGATATTTTGTAAATGTAAGGGATCCATGCATTACACAAAGTGTGAGGCTGAGAAGAGTTTTCCATCAACAATCTTCGGCAAATGGATGATAAATGCACCAATAAGGTATTTTCGATAAAACTGGCATTAGATAACAATCATTTTAAACAATCAGCCCAAGTTTTTATGAATTTTGTATTTATTTTACGTTGCATTTACTTTTTTTTTTAATTTTTTTTACTTAATAGTAACTGTGTAATGGTTTTTTTTCCCTTTAGTAGTAGTATGACTGACACAATGTTAAAATGTTTGTGTAACCTTGTATTATTTCTGTAATTATGCATTTGTTCCATGTATTGATTATGTTCAATGGATTCACATACTGTTTTTGTTTATATCCAATGTCTTGGCTTTTCAGCTGTCTCCCCCCGTACTCTTGCCTCCCTGTTCTGTTCGGCTTCCTTGATCGTCACTTTAATTGAGTCTTAATGTTGCTCCTGATTGATAATTACCCTACCCTTGCTGCTCTGTGTCTCTTCCTCTCCTCCGGTGGCTTTGGCAGGGCATTGACCGCTCTCACTCCTGGGTAAACTCTGCTTATGCCCCCGGTGGCCCCAGATCTGTCCTGCGTCGGAACCCAAACTCCAGCTGTGATCTCAAGCAGGTGCCAAATCCCCTCCCACCTTCTCATACCTCTCCTCACCTCCTTCCAAACTAACAATAACTCCACTCAAGCCATGTCTGTCTGTCGTTGCCGTCCAATAGCTACATGTCGGGCTATCTCAGGGCTACACCTTGTCCAAACCTGTCAAAGCTTTCCTAACAGTCTTCATCTGATATTTCCGGACTGACATTAGCTCAGATCTCTCTCATCACGCCTCATTTCATCATTCGCCCATTTTCACGTCACTTTGTGCTCATTTCTATGTCCATCGCACCACTACTCCATGTCAGGCAAACGACATCGCCGGCAATCGCATGTCTGCTTTTCTGGACAGCGTGGCCTTGTTTTCAGTGCCCACAAGGCAGATTGCCAAAAAGGTAAAACTGAAAACCACTCAAATGTGTGTGCTAACATTCCTTCGACATCACTAACTCACATCACAATACTATACATTTTGTGTTGATGTCATGTATTACTTGGTTTTAAAAGCAATTAACAATTGCTGAAGTATAATTCATTTATTTTTCATTTTATATATGTTTGCATATAGCCCAACATCACCACAGCAGTTGTCTCGTAAATATAAATTCCCCAGTAGCAGGTCAAACAATTATAAGACAGAGAATACAATAATAAAAACTCACTGAATCCATTGGTCCATTCGGCAGCAGGATCACCAATGTTTAATAATCATACATGTAATGGTTGATAAAAACTTTATTTAGTATTGGTAAACATTTACTTATAGTTAAATATTGGTAGGTAGTAAAATTTATGTTTTGTAACTTGTGTTTTACTTTTGGACTAAAGGCTATCCAAAGTCACCTCTTCAGCTGTTGAAAATGTGTTGAAATTTGAAACCCACATTTTCTTAGTATTGAGCTGAAAACACTGGCAGCAAAAGCTAATGTGCGTAAACCACTCACTTCCCTTAAAAACACACTGATCAAACACGTAATCCTACGTTTCTTTGAGTCACCTAGTTAGGCAAGACAAGGCAAGTTTATTTGTATAGCTCAGTTCATACACAAAACAAGTGCTGAACAAAGCAACAATAGAAACATTACCATCAAGGTATTAAAATCATGATTAACCACAGTGCATTAAAAAGCCTGTCTCACATATTCAGAATTTTCTTTCCAGATTTTAGCTGCATAAATCTGAAACACTGCCTCCCCATGTTTAGTCCTGACTCTAGGCATCAGCAGGAGGTCGGCCTCTGTGCTCCTCAGAGTCTAAGTCGATTTATATGGAACTGACTGTACTTTGGTGCAATAAGGCCCTCAGCATATTTATATGAAACAAGATTGGTTAAAACGTTTTTAAGAAAACAGTAATTTTAGAGGCAGATTCTGACTTTGACAGTAATATACTAGACAATTGTATGTATGTGGTCACCTGTAGTTGCTCCACGAGGAGCTGGCGTTGCAGTGGGTGGTCAGCAACAGCACAGTGAGAGAAGCGGCTCTGCAGCAGGCCTGGTTCTTCTTCCAGCTCATGGTTTGTTGCTCTAAGATCATTCCTCTCATTAGTTGTATACTGGAGCTTGAATAATGTTCTTGTTGACCAGGCGAAGAGCATGGCCCACCACTTATTCCTGACCTCGAAATTAGACATTCCCAGAAAGCAGCGTTTCCCTGACCGTTTTGTGGATGACGTTGCAGCACTAGTTTGTGCCATCAGCGCGGACGTTGCCACTCGATATCACAAGGTAACATTTTAACCACAACATTCTGTCTATATTAGTCCATGTCTCTTGTGGTTGATTAGTGTTGTTCCGCTGTCAGGATGTGGAGCTGGTGGAGCGGCTGAACAGCAGTCTGGCCTTCTTCCTGAACGACCTGCTCTCTCTTATGGACCGTGGCTTTGTTTTCAACCTCATCCGCACTTACTACAAACAGGTGTCTGCAGCTCTTCCTTTCGTCTCGCCGCTTATTGTTTTTGTTGTATTAAATTGTGCTTCGCATTTCACCAGATTTCAAACAAGCTGCACACGTCTCAGAACCCTAGTGCTCTGAACGCCCTGAGGATGGATTTCATGCGTATTGTCTGCAGTCACGAGCACTATGTCATCCTCAACCTGCCGTGTTCCACTCTGAGCCCCCCGGCCTCCCCGTCCCCTTCCACTTCCTCTACAACTTCACAGGTACATGTTACATCAGTAGAGCTGCAGAAATTAATGTCACCTCAATTATTTACAAAGCGTTTACACATTATTAAAGAACACAATACAAATGTGACCCTTAATAGATGTATTACCACCGGTACATGAAAACATTTCTTCAAAAACTTAAGATTTACCTTCTCCAATACTTGTTTCAGTGATCCTTTGCATGTGCTTTAATATTCTGAGCCTCGATAATTTGTTTTTATGGCATACATACAGCTCTGGAGGTTTTCTTTGCTGTATTTACTATAGTTGTTGACATGTTTTGATTATGTCTTGTGTTGACATAATTCCAGCACAGCGTGAAAAGGAAAATGAAACAAATTCTGAAAAATATTTGCATTTGACTTGAAGAGACCTGTAGGAATCCTTTTATAAAACATAAAAAGTGTTCACTCGCAAGTAGTATATTAAATTTTTCTATTCATTTTGATAAACTTGCTTCACGTTTTTGTTTCCCAGAGCTCTGCCTTCTCCAGCGTGGCTCCAGACCAGGGCGTGGCCAGCATGTTCGATCTGTCCGTCCCGTTTCGACAGCAGCACTTCCTGTCAGGGCTGCTTCTTTGCGAGCTCTCTCTCATCCTTGACCCGGAGAGTGAAGGGTACATTTTTCCATCACATGAAACAAATAACTTAAATTTACTTGGTTCCCTTGAAGGCACCATCAGAATCTTTTAAATTGCGCGCAGCATGACACTAAGGAAACTCTGAGTTGAATTAAATGGGCTGAATCTTTCTTTTTATTCCACCCACAGGGCTTTCTTCCTCCATAAAAAGGCCATTAGCGCGGTTCACTCCCTGCTGTGTAGCCATGACGCCGACCCGCGCTTTAGTGACTCTCAGGTCAAAGCTCACGTGGCTCAGCTCTATCTGCCCCTTCTGCCCGTGGTGATGGAGAGTCTGCCCCAGCTCTACGACTTCTGTGGTTTGTACAACTTTCACAACCCTTTTCTGCTCAGAAGACTTGTATAAGAGTGGTGCTCTTTTAGTAGGACTGGGATTTAGTGAGTGCGTCATCAGTATATACCTAAGCTCTCAGGTGGAATAGGAAATAATAATAAAAATAGTAATAATCATCATTTGTGTATACCAAAATATATATTTATAAACGTCTTAGTTTGTCATGCACTTTTAAGTATATCTTTTCTAATGAACAGTTATGTTGCTATTTCATGGTCTGTAATTATTATGTTGTATTGGTTTGTTTTAGATTAGGACCACGAATCGAGATTATTTTTACTTCATCAATATTCGGGTCATGTTGACTATGTGTACTTTCAAACCAAAGCATTGGTGCCATGAAGTGTTGATTATGTTTAAAGTCTGTGCATTAAAATAAAGACTACTTAAATTCAAACTAATTGAAAAATGAATGAATTAATTTGGATTAGTCCAGGACAAGAGATGTTCAACTCAAATTCAAAGTCTGTTCATATTTGTACTATTTCTGTCGATACAGTCTGTTTTTTAAATCCCTCAGACTCGTCTGCCCGGACCCGGCACACAGTGGCCTATGCAGACGACTCCGACCTCGATGGCAGCAACACCATCAGTCAGTCTGTTGCCATGGCAATCGCAGGCTCGCCACTGCCACATGTGAAACCCAATGCGTTTGTGCTGCCAACGGCGGTGAGTGCCTCAGTGGCGGTCAAGCTGCTCCTGGACCTTCCACAAAGACGGGTCAAAGATCAGTGTCCCACTGTTAGTAATGTGTGTTCTGGCCTGGTTTCTCTAAGTATCACATTTTACATCTTGAGAACCTTGTTAGTTGGTTTCATGGATTTGACACACCAGGAATGACATTACTCATCCTCTGTGTCCAATGACTTCAGCGTAACAACAATAGCGAACACACTTCCGTTGTCCCTTACAATATTTGTTGCTGTCGCCTACACCTGCTTAAACATAGGAACATTACTTTATTGTTTAATGCTTGTGGCCTATACATTTTTATGCCTACAGATGATATCTTTTTTCTTTGTGTGTGATAGACTTGACCTTACACTTGTGTTTTGTTGCCTCAGCCTGGGAGACAGCCCAGCTCTCTGTCGGCAGAGTGCAGTCGGACTCTGTTAGTGTGTTTCCTCTGGGTGCTGAAGAACGCTGACGCCTCGCTCCTGGAAAGATGGGTTTCTGATTTATCCATTCTGCAAATCAACCGTCTCCTGGATCTGCTGCACCTGTGCACATCCTGCTTTGAATACAAGGTACTTCCCTTAAAGCTGCACTAACTGACTTTATTTTTATATTCATTACAAAAATGCTATCCATGTCCATGCAGTGCATTGGTATATACGTCCTTTTAAAGAAAAAGTAGCGCAGATTTGTGCTGGCATGACATTATATTTTAGATCGAGTTTTGATGAAACAAGGAAGAGAATCTGTTTCGGGTCGCAGATTGTGACCAATCACAGCGCACCACTAGCCCCCACTTTTGTGAGAAATCTACAGGTCCGTTAGCTTAGACGGCTGAGTTAGCACAACAAGCGGCGGAGCTAACCTGAAGCTTCGTGTCTCCGTCACCGGTTACTGCTTACACAACGAGACAGCCATCCAAAAAAAAGTCTCGTTCTTCCGTGCTTCCCGGTTCTGTCGTTCTATGGTCACGCCATCCACGTGCAAATCCATATATCCATAATATCCATGTTGGAAGACGCTAGCTCCGTCAACAACAGTGGGTGTGTGTGGGGGCGATAGCTTCGTGGGTGCGGGGAGGGGAGCAGAAAGAGAGGCCAGCGAGTCCGCTGCTTCAAAATCCCAAAGTCAGTTAGTGCAGCGTTAAGAACCTTACTGACCCTTTGCCTAGCATTTGTTTCTGCCAGATAAGCCATCATTCAAAGCATATTATATTCTGCATCTAACCAAAAATTATTAGGGAGAAATAGTATTTTTATTTTATCATGTGTGTATCTATTATCAAACAGGCAAAATCGCTAGAGCACTACTAAAACAAAACAATACAGTATAAAAAAAAAAAAAAACAATTGTAAACCGCTTTGTGACTCTGGTCTGTGAAATATAAATAAAGATTACTTACTTACTTACTTATATGGGTCGTCTTCTAAAAGGTTAAGAAAGAAGCCAATGTTTGAAATTCCAGTGTCATAGCACACAGTACAGAGTAAGATGCCACTCAAAACAAAGATAACCACACAAAACAAAGATACTCAAGTGTAAATACTTATAATGTATATACTGAAACTATTGTTTAAAGTAAGTAGGCACAGTCTTGACTGTCATTGCCCAAAAAGACTAACATAGTAAAAAGACACGTTAGAATTTTCCACAGCTGTTAAAAACGCTCCTATATTTCATGCATGCTTTGTGTTCAGGGCAGGAAGGTTCTGGAGAGAATGAACAGCCTGACCTTTAAAAAGTCTCAGGACATGAAGGCGCGACTGGAGGAGGCCATTTTGGGGACAATTGGGGCGCGTCAGGAGATGGTTCGTCGCTGCAGAGGTAAAAGGCTAAGTGGCGCTGTTATAGATTGATGTGTTCGAGTATTAATGGACCTAATTATTGGAATAAATTATTTTCTCTGCAGAGAGGAGTCCTTACGGCAGCCAGGAGAACGTGCGATGGAGGAAAAATGTTACACACTGGAAACCAAACGCAGAAAGAGTTGATAAGTATGTTGTTTTTGAAGGTTTATGCTCCTTTTACTACATACCGGTACTATTAGCGACACGCAATGTATCTTTTGTGTTAGATCTAAGATTGAAGTGGAGCAAGAGTCTGTGGTGGATGGAAACCTGGCCACGGAAGCCTCTCTAATTGTGCTGGACACACTGGAGATTGTAGTCAAGGTATTGCAATAAAACAGTATCATATATTTTATTTTTGTTATTGATTCTTTTTAACTGAGTCGACTTTTCCCGCTAGACTGTTGTGGCCTCAGAGCTGAAGGAGAGTGTTCTGGGTGGAGTGCTTAGAGTGCTTCTCCACAGCATGGCAGGCAACCAGAGCGCCCTCTTCCTGCAGCACTGCTTCACTACACAAAGAGCACTCGTGTATAAGGTACTCTTGTTTTAGTTTATGAGCAATCCATTTATTTTTATTTGGGCCAAAACTAAGATACATTTTTCTAGACAAATGTTGCAGGGTTGGGGAGGAAGAATGGGCTTTGATTTGAAATCAGAGTTATCGAACTTTCAAATCACAAAATTTTTTTTGATAAAAAATATAATTTGTCTAGTTCCTTATCAACACTTTCACATCAATTATATCCTATCAATCATTCATTTTTTTCAAACAGAAAAGTGAAAAAGAGGACCGTCCTCACTCATACTCTCACTTAACCCAAAGCATCACATGGTGACTCACAGGGCTCTTTTTTGATGTAGTATGCAGAAGATAAAATGTGGTCTGGTTTTGTTTACAACATTGTACTTTCTGTCGGTAAAAAACAGACTGTATCACAGCGGCAGTTTTTTTGTGCGTGCTTTTCTTGACAGTCTGCTTCTCATGTGTCAACAACATTCATATACAACATCACATAACCGCAAGTATAACCGCTATCTTTTTTTGAAGTCACAAAGGTGTTGAGGCTTGTGTTCACCGCTGTGATTAGTTCAGAGGACAACAGCGTGTTTTTGTAGCCCACAGTTCTTCTCCTGCCCCTCGGCACAGTGCAGCTGTATTTTGCAATATCAAGCAATATCTGCGCTGATATCTCAGCGATCGCACTTCAGAAATCCTGAGTTCATGTGGTTAGAAAAGTGTATAAAGTGTATGATGAGGGGCTTTACAGGTTTAAAACATAGTGCTGCAACTTTGCAGATTTTGCTTATTGTGGGTTGTTTTTAGAACGTAACCCCGCAATAAACAAGGGCCCACCATGTAGCCCGTTGTAAGATATGACTTTGCGTCTCTGCTGTGCTTAGTTCCCAGAGATGCTGTTTGAAGAAGACACGGAGCTGTGTGCAGACCTTTGTTTACGTCTCCTGCGTCATTGCAGCAGCAGCGTGGGCTCCGTCAGAAGCCACGCCTCCGCCTCCCTCTATCTGCTCATGAGGCAAAACTTTGAAATAGGGAACGTAAGTTAAGAATATTTACATCGGACGAAAAGATCTTCACTAATCTGCGTATTTGCTTTTGTTCATTTTCATCAGAATTTTGCTCGAGTAAAGATGCAGGTCACAATGTCGCTGTCGTCTTTGGTCGGGACGTCTCAAACTTTTAATGAGGAACATCTTCGTCGTTCGCTAAAGACGATACTGACTTATGCAGAAGAGGATCTGGAGCTGCGGGACACTCCTTTCCCTGAACAGGTGAATTATTGATTAGAGATGTCAGTTTAGAGCAGGGGTCTCCAACCTTTCCCCCCTGGAGAGAGCTACTCCCCTAAGCGGTCTTTTGAAAAATGAGTTTATATAGTGTTGATAATGACAGTACTGAATCAGTCTTTATTATCACATACTTGTCACAACTGCACAAAGTAAGTTTGCATTTAGCTATAGTTGTGAACAACGTGAATAATAAATTTGAAACTATTCAGCACATTATTTGATTTTTTTCATGTCTAAATCCTTCGGGGAGCTACCTGAAAGGGGGGTGGTGAGCTACTGGTATCTCCCGAGCCCCAGGTCTGAGCCATAGGTTGGAGCCACTGGTTTAGAGAAAATGATGAAATGTAATGGAATACAAAATCTACTCTTCAGGTTTCCACTTCACTTGTTTTGAGAGCAGGTATTTGGAGAGAAGTCTGAAATTACTAATGAGTAGTTGTATTTGTTCAAAGTATAGTTTGAGAAAATTGAGGCCTACAAACAAAAACCTCTAGAGAAATGTATTCAGTCTGTAGAACACCAGTAAACAATTTCCTTTTTCCTATACTTGCTTTAATAGCTCTTAAAAGTAAATTGCTGCGCTGCAATAGTTTTTACTTCTGTTGTATTTGGTTCCTGGGCCAAATTAAAGTACTTCCTCCAGAACCAGTCTTGGATTACTGTCATGCCTCTTGTTTCCAACCAGGTCCAAGATCTTGTGTTCAACTTGCACATGATTCTGACCGACACCGTGAAGATGAAGGAGCACCAGCAGGACCCAGAGATGCTCCTTGATCTGATGTACAGGTGCGGACCCGTGTCTGAAGTCCGCCATCAAAAATTAACCATAGAAACTAAATCTTTGATGTTATTTCTGCAGAATTGCCAAAGGCTACCAGAACTCGCCTGACCTGCGCCTCACGTGGCTGCAGAATATGGCGGGGAAGCACTCAGAAAGGGGGAACCACGCCGAGGCTGCTCACTGCCTGGTCCACAGCGCCGCCCTGGTGGCAGAATACCTCAACATGCTAGAGGATTGTCGCTATCTGCCCATCGGCTGTGTCACATTTCAGGTCAGTGCATTTTCACAGCTATATCTATGTTTTAAGCGTGTTATTTTAAAGCTGGAGTTCCTACATTTTGTCATCTCAACAGACTTTTTAGGTACCATTTTGTGATCATAGTACACAACATGATGTCTTTTCTTTTAATCTTTTACATTCTAGGAGTTGATTGGCTGCATGAGTGCTGGTTTTCTTTTTTTTCTTAGAAGCTGATCTAACAATGTGACAGAGGCTAGAAATACATGCATGTGAAAACTAGTGATTGTGGTTTCAAAGTTAGGTACTGGGTAAATAGGCACATCGTAATTTAAATCCAGCCTGTGAATGTTGTATCAAGGGAACCTCAAACTAATAAGCCAAGATCCCAAAACAAAAGTTGTTCGTTTCTATATGTATTTTCTGCTTATAATTCTTCTTAGAACTTTACTACATGAACTATTCTGACTTAAATGTGCAATTCTCAAATCTTCCATTTCGTTCCATTGTTTTCTGTTCCATAGACCATCTCCTCCAACGCGCTGGAGGAGTCCGCTGTATCCGATGACGTCCTGTCCCCTGAGGAGGAGGGCATCTGTGCCGGGAAGTACTTCAGTGAGTCTGGTTTGGTCGGCCTCTTGGAGCAAGCAGCTGCCTCTTTCAACATGGTGAGACTCATTTTCCCCCTGTGACGAGTCCGAGGGGCCTGGGCTGTGATTGACTGCTTATGGAAACCCACCTCCCTCTGTAAACACAGGCCGGGATGTATGAAGCCATAAACGAGGTCTACAAGATATTGCTGCCCATCCACGAAGCCAACCGAGAGTTTAAGAAGCTAGCCACTGTCCACGGGAAACTGCAAGACGCCTTCAATAAAGTCTACAATCAAGTGAGTTGCATAGAATGAGACTAATGAAAAAAAAAAAAACTTTCAGAAAATTTGAATATTTTCTAAATGAACTGCAAGTCATAATTATCAAAATCATAACAGCAATGGTTGGACATATGTCACTTTATATGTAGTCTATATCATATACTTTTAGCTGAACAACTTCTGAACAATATTAAAAATGTTACCTTGATCTGGTGGCCAATATATCATTCTATTTAAAACCAAAAGCACATAAAATGGTTTCATAAATTAATTTGCTGTTTTATTTTTGATTTTCAGAGTTCAGGATGGGAGGTAAAAACAAATTCCTTCATTACCCTTTATACAGTATGTATATGATTTCTATCCATATTATGATTTGTAAATAACCACACTGTTTTCCTTTCCTCTCCTCGTCCTTCTCCCAATGGCACCAAAATGGTAAGTTTGACATCCTTTGACCAAGCTAATTTTACTCTACTGCTGAAAAACACATCACTCAAGTCAATATCTCAGCAGTAAGTGTCATTTCCTTTTAACCTTTTCAGGGCACAGAGGATGTTTGGGACCTACTTTCGCGTTGGGTTTTATGGCTGTCGCTTCGGAGACCTGGACGAACAGGAGTTTGTCTACAAAGAGCCATCAATCACCAAATTAGCCGAGATCTCCCACCGACTCGAGGCATGTTCCTCTTAGTCATGGAGCTAATCAACTTGTCACTGATGATTTATGACTGATGTATTTATAAACTTCTTAATACTTGCAGGAGTTTTATTCGGAGAGATTCGGGGATGACGCGGTGGAAATTATCAAGGGGTCAAACCCGATTGATAAATACAAACTTGATCCAAACAAGGTATTTTCGAGCCTTTTTGAGCAATAGTTGTATGAAGTATCTGCTCTGGTATTACATAACTCTTCATTCATTTCTGTTGTGGACTGTGACCTCTGGAAGTAAAAATGATACCTACAAAGTCATCATAACATTTGATTGAAAGCATACAGCCATAGTTTTTCAGTCTATCTCCATTTTTAATCGGTAGTTTTATGACAATCTAGGAACCCCCCCACCTCACGGATTTGGAAAATCCCCAAAAAAAAATCTCAAGGGGATTCCCAAAAACATTAAAAAAAGTTAGTTTGAATGCTTTTTTGGGGGGCTAACATAATAATAAATGACCGCAAGACCAATTTTTAAATTAAATATCTGTTGTGAACTTATCTTTTTAGGATGAAAACTAAATGGGCTGTGGTTAAAAGTTACATTGCTAATTTGCATCCATTGTACCTTCTGCTCAATTCAATTCAATTTATTCTTGTATTGCCCTAACTCACAACAGTAGTCATCTCGGAGGCCAACACAGATCAGAGAATCAAACGGTTTGAACACAAAACAAAAACTCTTTCTGGGAAAATGAATGGGGATTTTCACTTCTGTATCCATAGATGTAGATCCATAATGTAGAACCTTCCCTCTCAGGCTCTCCATGTCTCTTGTGTTATAATGTTTCCTTTAGGCCTACCTCCAGATTACGTACGTGGAGCCCTACTTCGACACGTACGAGCTGAAAGAGCGGATCACGTACTTCGACAAAAACTACAACCTGCGCACGTTCATGTACTGCACGCCCTTCACTCTGGACGGACGCGCACACGGAGAGCTGCACGAACAGTACAAGCGCAAAACCATCCTGACCACGTCGCACGCCTTCCCCTACATCAAGACGCGCATCAACGTCATCCACAAAGAGGAGGTGAGGGGCCAACACTGCACACGGCGTGTTGGAAAGTTTACATTTTCGATTTCAAATTTTAACAAGAATTTTACTACAAAGAAGTTCCCTTAAACTCCTTTTGATTACATATTGTAATCTTTGTGTTTTGCAGATTATTCTTGTCCCTATGGAGGTGGCCATTGAGGACATGCAGAAGAAAACACAGGAGCTTGCATTCGCCACAAACCAGGAACCAGCCGATTCAAAGATGCTTCAGATGGTTCTCCAGGGCTGTGTGGGTACCACCGTCAACCAGGTCAGTTTCCTCTGGTAACAGCAGCTGCTCAGACCGAAACTCGATTCTCCCAGTTACTTAAAAAATCAAAAGCCTGAACACCCCTCTGCTCAGTTCATCTATCCAACACCAGGCAGTGATTCTCAACCTAGAAGGCCACAAACTTTCCCCGACATTCTAAGAAATAAGTCCAATTGAGACTGCTTTAATGACAATAATGGAATTTCTTGTTAACTACTTATTACTATGTAGCGGTGTCACTGCCAAAGTTGAGGAATTAGTAATAATTGGTTGAGATTTTGTTTGAATTTGACCTGGATAGCAACAAAGTGATTGCCTGAGTACATTTACACAATTTCCCTTTTTTGTGAGCCTTGAGTGGCCCTGTTCTGGGAAAGAAATAATGTATAAACTAGAACGTGAACTCAGAGAGTGCATACCCGCCAACACCACGGGTCATCTCGGGATACGTACCATCCACACACTAAAATTCAACTCAATTCGTCAAGTTTTTTTGCTCAACCCTGCCTACAACGAACACACATACTCTCATGCACAATACTCCCTATTGCCGGGGTGGTAAAGATGACTTGGCTCTCTGCAGCTAAGGATATGTGTTCCGACCCTTTGTAATGGTATGGGTAATATCTGTTCATTTTATTGAAATTTCTGCATTTAATAATAATGATAATCTAATAAAGCTCGGGTACATAACTTTCAAACCACAACAAAATATATAATAAAGAATATAATGTATAAAGAAATAATCAAAATCCCTCAATTTTTGTGTGCATTTGTTTTTGAATCTTTCTTTAGATCATATTTTGTCAGAATTTATAGTGTAAAAGCGAGGAACACTCTTGCTCAGCCATTCATCTCTCGGCCCAAAAGGTCAAATAGAATGACTGTTATCTTTTGCAGAATTGTAAGAAAAAGCCCTGTTAGTCACTAAGCTTGAATAAGATAAAGGCTGTAAGTTGTGATCTGATATCTTCACAAAATGTTACTTTTCGCCCTGCTAGGACCAAATGGTTTACAGCTATAGATAAATAGACCCCAGCTTTAATCTTGTGGCACTTATTGTGGTGCGAGGTCTTGTTCCGTTTCATCTATGTTGCAAGATTCAGCATATTTGTTTCTATCAGCACAGGCCTACAACGTTAAGGGGTACATTGTCTGGGTTTACTGTTCCCTGGCTGGAGATTAAAGCTGCAGTGACGCACATTCCAGAGCTCTCATGTAACCCTGTCTCCTCCCGGCGCAGGGCCCCCTCGAGGTGGCGCAGGTCTTTCTGTCTGACATTCCCGACGACCCCAAACTCTTCCGCCATCACAACAAACTGCGCCTCTGCTTTAAAGACTTCACTAAGAGGTGATGACACACGCCGCACCAGATGGATCCTGCCGGGCAACTAATCACAGCCGCTAAACCCGGGCCTTCCCTTTACTTTGTTTTTTTTTTTAACACAGGTGCGAGGATGCCCTGAAGAAGAACAAAACCCTGATTGGTCCGGACCAAAAGGAGTACCATAAGGAGCTGGAGAGAAACAACAATAAGTTAAAAGAAGCGCTGGGCCCGCTGATAAACCGCAAAATCCCACAGTTGTATCAAGCGCTGCCGGCTCAGACTGTGCAAATACAAAGGTAACGAGAGACACACACACATAAAACGCCCACTCTTAAGACCCACATAATGAGCTCATACTTACTCCGTGCTGTAACCGAATCTGAAGTTGTATGACACACACAGCTCAAAGACACGTCTGTCGCCAAATCGAGTCCACCAAATGTCACAACTTGAACGTAAATCTCGCCTTGAAGCCCTGTGAAACTGTCGCAGCAAACGTGGGATTCATAACTTTTACATTCAACGCGTACTCTGCCTTGGGATTAAAGCGGAGCAGCTTGTTTGACTTGGGAAGCTATCTCCGCCATATGTTTCTGGTTCTATCTGCGCTTGGCGTCGGCTCAACATTTGCATGTGATGGTCTGCGGACCGCTGGGCTTCTAATTAAAAACACATTCAGAGCTCGCAGCACCTGCCAAACAGCGGGCTTAAAACAGAGCGCCGTTTTATTATGACGCTTAAAGTTAATTATATTTATTAGAAGGATCTTGCTGAGGACAACACGTAGAGTAGAGAGTGTGGAAATCCCCAGCTTTACAGCGATTTCAAGGAATGGCTTCTAGCGATTCAAATCAAGCTAGATTTGCTAATACTTTTCAAGCTCGAATGGATTGAAATGGCAGGCTTAGATTATTTCTCATTCTGTCAATAACCGTTTCAATAGTTGTAGTTTTGATGGTTTGACATGAATGAACATTATAACCATCATTATATTCAGTTGCTAATGTTGCAGTGCACATAATGTAAGTAAGTAAGTAAGTAAAGTTTATTTATAAAGCGCTTTTCACAGATAAAAATCACAAAGTGCTGTACAGGACAGTGGACAAAGACGAAACAATATAAAATGTATTTACACACATGTACGTAAAAGTGACATTAGTGAGAACCCAATCAACTAAAAGCTTTCTTAAATAAATAAGTCTTCAAGCCTTTTTTAAAAGAGTCCACAGAGTCGGCCAGATGTAGGGACAGGGGCAGGGTGTTCCACAGTCTGGGGGCAACAGACTGAAGACAGGTCCCCTCGAGTCTTATAATGGGTTTTGGGGACCACAAGCCGGTTCTGGCCAGAGGACCGGAGAGTGCGGCCAGAGGAGTACAGGCTCAAAAGGTTCAGGATGTACTGGGGGGCCTGACCATTTACGGCTCTGAAGGTCAGCACTGAAATCTTAAAATCAATCCTGAATTTTACTGGGAGCCATAATGACATGCAAATTCTCAGGACTGATCACATTCACATTCGCAGAACCCGGCATCATTTGGCTCTTGAAGAAAATGCCATGATGCGAGGGTAGCCCAGGAGCACGTCTCTGAAAAAACACGTGTTTATTAGTGCTGCTACATGAACAAAAATGAATGATCAGCAGAGTTTACAAAGCATGCAGACTACAGCAGTTCCCAGACGCATCTCTCACTATATGTAGACTGCTGTAAAGATGCTCTCGCTTTCTTATTTTATTTCTATTTTAATCACACACAGCCAACATAAATACTGTGTTTACTTAAAAAAAGATAACCGTTTAATGTAAGAACAATAGTATTATTAATGGTTCATATAGATCCACACAGTAGTTTCAACATAAGCCATCATTGGATATTCCTCCTTGGTTCTGGCTTCAAAAAGGTTCTGGCTTTGCTTACACCTGACCTCATGGAAAAATGTCACATAAATTCCTAAGTTTAGCTGCATGTGTAAATATGGCTTTATTGTCTTAGTGTTGTCTTAGTGTTGACCGCGATTGTGTCTCAGATTATCGCTGCCACATGGACACACACAATTTGGAGTTTACAAAGAATGTAGATCATTTTATATCTAGGCAAAAATGCTGATTGTCTCACTATCTTTGAAGACCGTGTCAAGCTGACCTTTTAAAACATGTTCAATATAGACTATTAAAAGTCTTGTAAATGTCCACAGTAGTACTTGCAGCCTTTTCTCTAGTGCCAAGACAAAACTGATGGTGCTACTTCTTGCATAATGAAAGTAATGAATCATGTGCATTGCTTCTACATGGATCATAATTCTACATATACGCCCCCCCCTCCCCTCTGCAGACTAACACACTGTACATCTGTCGTCTCTCTGGCAGAAACTCGTTCGGCCGCTCCAGTCTGCGCCGGGTCGACTGCTGAAACCTCACACAAGTCGACAGCTCAAATAAACAAGCATTAAAGACATCGCTTCGTCCCGCCTGTGCCCCCCCCCCCCTCCCGCGGAGCAGCAACTGTCCCGAGCTCCGTCCCCCTCAGCCGGCCACCCAGTCTTTCTCTAATCCTCTGTAGCTGTCCTCACGCAGGCCAAACACACAACACTTGTCGGCTATTAGCATGTTAGCCCTCCACTTGACCAGTCTGCTCTCTGACACCTCTATCAAAACACCACTACACTGTTTATGATGGGGCTTATCTGCACTGTAAACGCCATTATTTATAGACCCCTCCCCCCAAAGAGCTGCTCAATATTGTACAGCACCAGATGCCATATGTGATAATGCTGGCTACATTTTTAAATTTTTGGATCTGATTGTTCCTTTTACGTTGAGGCTTAAGCCAAGCATGCATTTTTAGATAGCACTGAAAGATAACATGGGGCACACTGTAGCTCAGGGGAAGAGCTACAAAACAAAAATACAACATTCCAAATATTAATGTTAACGTCTTGTAAAGTCTATTTTACCTTAGTTTGGGGGTAATACCAAATATCTTACATTCCATCTACTCTATGTCAGAGCCATCTTTTTTGTTCATTTTTTCACATTGTTTAAGTTGGATATCCAAAATTGGGCCTCAACGGGGGCTTATTCCTGCAGATCACTGTATAAGACTTTTTTTTACTGTGAAATATTCTAGTAACGCACTGTGCTCTCATAAATTGTCACAAAAAAACGATGCTCTTCAACTTCAAGTGTATAAAATATGTAAACCAAACTCTTACTAATGCCTTAATGCGTTTTCATGTGAGGTTTACAGTCATTTATCTTGGACTGTTTTAAACAAGCACTCCAAATATCAAATGTATGTGTCTGCAGCTCTGCAGAGCTGTGGGAGATGTAAAGAAGATGTATTTTACTGTATCTTTGTATTGCACTACTATAAAAGTCAACTGTGGCACAACACTGTACTTCTAAACGACGCATGTCATTTTTACAAACCTGGAAATATTTTTTACTCTTTAGTGAATGTTTTATTTATTTACATGTTGACTGCTTTCTATTAAAATTCTTCTTTCTACACTTTTGAGTGTTTTTGTAACATTTACTTTACTCCTACTGTACATTATGATATATTATATTATTAAATCAAGATCCAGAGAATATATATTTAATATTCCTTGTTCTTAGTGCTGTGTTTTCCTTAAAAGGCTCTGTTATCTGTGTACACATTCAGTGTTTGTGGCTCCTACTTTTACAATTAAGCTCGAGTTAAACTAATGGCACTGAACAAGTGAAGCAGCACTGATTAGATTAACGACTCCAGCCTTGGCTTTTGGCTCTACACTAAAACTCTGAAGAAGTAAACATTCACCAGTTTATGCACATACATAAAGGCCAAGAGGGGACTTAGAAAACCTACTTGTCATTGTTGCCCTAGTTTCCCACAGCCTTCAACTTAATGTAATTTGAATCTTTAAAGAGATTACATAAGCACAGAATTGTTGGAAAAATGGGCGTTTAGTAATTCAAAGTGATTATCAAAACAAATTATGTATTAGAATGATAAAAAAGCAAACTAAATGTTTATATTTAAATTATAAATCTATATGGTTATACCTTGTTCATCATTCTCAAACCCATGGTTGTATTCCTAATTGGGTGTGCCTAATTTATTCATATTGATCCATTACAGTATATGATATGCCTTGAGTCATTATACTGCGCCTTTAGAAATCAAAGTTTCATCTCGTTTATTTATCTCTCACATCCACTATTTGTCAATAACTGGGTCGTGTGCACAGAGATGTGGGTCATGAGGACAGCAGGCTGCAGAGGTCAGGGGGCTGAGAGACAGCCTGCAGACCCGTGTGCGTGGATGTGGATGTGGCGCTGGCCCTTTAAGAGGCTCGGGGTGGGGGAGCGGGGAGCGGACGGAGCATCTTGGCTGCAGTGTTTTTGTCTGTGTCAGAGAGCGCCCCTGGGCCGAGGCGGCTGCACGGATCTACGGGACAGGTAAGGCACAACGTGAACTTGTAATGTCTCTGCTGCAGATGTCTTGTTGTTGTTTTTGCACTTGCTTTTGTTGCGCTGTGGACGAGGCGCTTGCTCCAGTCTGACTTCTCTTTGTAAAGCCGCGGAGCAGCCCATCCGCTCCTCTCCTCCCTGCGCGAACGCACAGCGCGCTGGAGTCGACAAACACGCGGCTTCAGTTTATTTCGCGTTATCTTTGAGCTTTGAACTTAATGCAAAATCAAAAACACACTGTTTTCACCCAGCGTCCTCAGGAATGTGTCAACCGAGGCGCGTGCATCGCCGGTGCGCGTCTTTTTGTTCAGAGCATCCCTGGTTCATGGGCAAATCTGCTCTGTACAGAGGCTATGCCATAACAGCTACAAATCATATTAGGATGTGTAAAGAAGCGTATTGGTTTGGGACCAGAAGATTAATAACTGGGCTATTGGCGCTCCTTTGGTCACACATGTGTCCTCAGGAGCGGTGTGCAGTCAGCGCCTTCTCATCACAGTCCAGTTTAGTACTTTGATTCTATATTCCTGCTAACAATGAAATATACAAATGCAAACTAACTTTGGCTGTGCAGTTCAGATGTATACATTATAGTCCTATCTTCTTTCCACTGTGACACACACTGTTGTTGGTGTAGAGATTTCTGTTGCAACCAAATGGCTCACACATTGCACAATAAACCAATTTTATAATTTCATTAAACTTGTGAAAGAGAAAAAATGAGTGCAAGAGCTCGGGGAGAGGGTGGGTCCGCGCTTTCTGCGACTTTTCATTGCTTCCAGATGTTCATCAGCTTTCCTTGTGCATCTTGGCCACAGATTTGCTGCTGCTCACTTCGCCTGGAGCTGGTCAGTGGTCACCGGAGGCCAGTTCATATCCTGATAGCGCTGTGTTATGAAAGGTCAATGCTGAAGCTATATTTTTAACTTGTAAAAACAAACACTATTCTTAGCCAGCAATTTTCTTAACTTGACAGATTTGTCTGCTCCATTAACTCACAGAATTTCACAGTAAGCTCCAATAACACTTCAAAAGCAGCACAAGTATGTCGCCTCCAGTCTGAAGACACCCAGATGAAATGATAACAATACATGAACTAAGATTCAGATTAGTCTAAAGTTTGCCAGACGTTACTAAACTATTACAAACCAGAACAAAACTCTGACTAAGATGATAAAAATGGTATTTCTTTCTCTTGTAGTGACAATGAAGACTACTATAACCCCCAAACTAATCTAGACTAAACTAGACTAGACAAGACTGAAAAAACTGGAGCAAAAGTTATCTCAAAACTATAAGCTATAACTCCACAGTAAACGTTAAAAGAAAAGTTTGAGAAGCAGCTCTTTCAAACGTTCAATAACCCTGTGCGATTAATTAGTCTTGAGCTGGTTTTTGGCAACGGTCCTTGGGGATCATTAAGAGTAGCTGGACTTGATGTTGTTTTGATGATGGACGGGCAGTAGTTGGCAGCATGTGGGAGAAAGTGCAGTCACCAGGCTCTTACACCAGAAAATACAATACCCCAGTGTGAGGGCGGCCATCGCGGTTGTGTAATGACTTTCTCACTGAATCAAATCATCTCCGAGAAGAGCCACCGCTGGAGCAGCTACAGCGCGGACTGTAACTCACAAACAGGATTCATTTAAATAAGTTAAAGCTGGGGGACACAACTTTCTAACCACAACAAATTGGACTATGTCATAAAATCCAACTCGTTCCTCATTCTCAAAACAGTTTTGTTCGCTCCCTAGTTTTTGCCCACTGTCATATCTTTAGATCAGCTTTTTCAGACGGATGAGCCGCAGTTCTCAGCCCAAAGTGTCAAATAGTGTCTCACAGGGCTGTTACTTAAAGATGTAGTAGTGATTTTTTTCCAGACAATTTTTTTTAAATATTGTGGGAAAATGTACCTAAATCCTAAAAGTAGTAAAGTTATCATGTGTTTTCAAATAGTAATGGAATTTACCAGATGCCTATACTGTAATCTCCAAAAATTAATAAAACATATTTTGGAGTGGACCGATAAAAATAAACCAATGGGATTCGTTCATCCCCAACAAACCAATGGGATGGGTTTACCCCCTTCACCCTCTTCCTGTTTCTCGCGAGTGTGCGCACCTGAGTTATCGGATTTTGTAAAACCTAAAAAGGGCTGAACAGAAAAGGCCAATTGCACGTTCCACTCTCCCTGTTGTGATAAAGAAAAGAAAATGCTGGATGTTTGGTTTGATGAAGAGGCGAGGGGAGGGGGGAGTGGTTTTCGAGTTGGTGCTACGGCTAAGCTAACAACATCGCTTACTGCACCTTTAAGTATACAAAAGATAAAGTGTTTTTTGGTAAAATAAAGACAGATTATTCATTTTACGTTCACAATACTATTTCTGTTTGGACTAACATGTAGTATTTATGTTTAATAAAGTTAGGTACCCCAGCTTTAAAGGGTCAAACATCCTAAAACAACTATCCAAATGTCCAAATTTAATCTGCTATACATTAAAATATATGCAAAATATCACAATGAATGATGATAACAGCAGAGTTAAAATCATACTCTTAGTATGAAAGAGAAATTACGCACAGCTGAAATCTTCTCATATACACCAATATATAATAATAATAATAATAATAATAATAATGCATCGATTTTATATAGCGCTTTTTTGGACACTCAAAGACGCTTCACATGTGTCATTATTCATTCACTCCATACACGGTGGTGATAAACTACTACTGTAGCCACAGCTGCCCTGGGGCACACTGACAGAAGCGAGGCAACCCAGTATGCGCCATCGGCCCCTCCGACCACCACACACACACCAGACTCATTCTAGGCAATGGGGGTGAAGTGTCTTGCCTAAGGACACAATGGCAGTTTGGCACTTTACAGCCGCAGCCGCCGCTGCGCCTGTAAAGCACACAACAAATACTGGCTTTCAGATTATTACTGTGTACTAATACAAAAAATCTGCCGTATATTTACTTTGCCAAGGCAGAACTATTTCCAGATGCAAAATATTCTCAGTTCAAGATGAAAATATGAAACACAAGGGAGCTGTTGTCTTTCATCAAGGAGTTTAGGTGATGCAGGGAATGTGCATTGATAACATTCTGATCCATTTTAGGCTTAAAACAATCCTCCATGTATGAATATTTTACAGTTTTCAAAGTCAGCTCTAACTGCATGTACCACATTGATGCTCTTGTTTTTATGGCTAAGAAATACCCTTTGAAAAATTTTACTTTGAGTGAAACATACATGAAACATTTTATTAATATTTGCTAAAGTGGAAATATAATTGTTTTTACAGTTACCCTTCTTTAATTGACATTTTATTTGTATGTTTTCTTTCATCTCTATGGTTCTCTAATCCTTTTTCACCTGCCACTTATTCTCACCCACTTCTCTGTATTTAATTCAAATGAAAATTATGTTGCCATTTTAAAACCCTGTTGTGTAAATCAGCAGCTGGCTGAGGAGGCGGGGCTTATCAATTCGGCTTTGTGAACAGGAAGTGATGAACCTCTTTTAATATGTTTTACAGAATATTGCAAAATATAAAGAACAAAATGTTTAATACTAACTACCCCCATAAAAAAGAATGTATCTCCTATAATGATAAAAAGTGGGATTTTCAGTTTTGAGACAGACAGACACATCTCCAAAAGTCATGAAAAGTAAGAACCGCTCGTAAACAGGAGCAGGCAGCATTTTGGCACTAATGGGTTTTATTTGGCAACACTTTTCTAAAGCGCTTAACAGCCTTCATTGCCTTTATTGGATCATGTGCTTTTACAAGGAATCAGAACTTTTCAAAAACTGCTGAAATTGCTCTAAACTTTTCTTTTATGCTCGTCTGAATGGCAGCCGCCGAGGAAATTGTATTTATAACTGTAATTTTATAGCAGAGGATTGCATTGCACCATTTGTGTAAGTCCGGAAAAAAGACCTCAAAATGGAAAAAAAGTGGTTTTCTACACCGCTTTTGAAAATACAATATGGAAGTATCATTACAACTTTTATTAGATATTACCAAATTAATAGACGGTGACACGTGAGTCAGTTTTCCGACTGCAACTTTCCAGATGTGGCATCATTACTCGGAAGACAGTGACTTCATTTATGATTGATACCTTCTCTTGTCCCGCTGTTCTGAGCAAACGTCAATAAAGCTGTCGAGGTGACGCCTTCGCCTTTTACGACATCTATAGTTTCGCAATTTCTTAAACTATGTAAAAATAACAGTGGAGGAGAAACAGCAAGATGTAGTCGTAGTTGTTGTAGTGACACTAGTAGTGACAGTAGTAGTAGTAGTGACAGTACTCGTGGTAGTAGTAGTAGTAGTAGTGACAGTACTCGTGGTAGTAGTAGTAGTAGTGACAGTACTCGTGGTAGTAGTAGTAGTAGTGACAGTACTCGTGACAGTAGTAGTTGTAGTGATAGTAGTAGTAGCAGTAGTGACAGTAGTAGTAGTAGTAATAGTAGTTGTAGTGACAGTAGTAGTAGTAGTAATAGTAGTTGTAGTGACAGTAGTAGTAGTAGTGACACAAGTAGTAGTAGTAGTAGTAGTGACAGTAGTAGTAGTAGTAGTAATAGTAGTTGTAGTGACAGTAGTCGTGACAGTAGTAGTAGTAGTTGTAGTGATAGTAGTAGTAGTAGTAGTGACAGTAGTAGTAGTAGTAGTAATAGTAGTAGTGACAGTAGTAGTAGTAATAGTAGTTGTGATAGTAGTGACACTAGTAGTAGTAGTAGTAGTGACAGTAGTAGTGACAGTAGTAGTGACAGTAGTAGTAGTAGTGACATTAGTAGTAGTAGTAGTAGTTGTAGTAGTGATAGTAGTGACAGTAGTAGTGACGGTAGTAGTGACAGTAGTAGTAGTCGTGACATTAGTAGTGATAGTAGTAGTAGTAGTAGTGACAGTACTAGTAGTAGTAGTAGTTGTAGTGATAGTAGTAGTAGTAGTAGTGACAGTAGTAGTAGTACTTGT